ATCATTATACTAATTAACTTGTATTGTTTTTAATAAGAATTTACATTGTCTTTGAATGAAATGTAGTGTGCTTATCAAATGTACTAATTTAAATAACAAAATATTCTTTTACAAGATCTTAAATTTAGATATAGCTTTAAAGAGGTATTACATTAATAGTTTAATATAGTGTTTGAAAATCATGATTTCTATTTGTCAGTCAATTTAATGATAATTATGAAAATCTAAGTGTCAAACCACAAATATGTAGAATTTATGGAAATGCTATAATATAGTGAGAGTATATTTATACAATCTCAATTTGTATATAACTAAAAATTGAATGGAAAATGAACTTCTTATAAATATAAAATAATACTCCTAAAATTTTGTAAAAGTTCAAAGCAATTAAATGTAAATTAATTTCAAATTAATGATTGAAGAATTACGATCTGTGATTTTAAATTAGTCATATAGCTTTTAAATAACTTGAACAGATTATTGATATAATTCAAATCTTAAATTGATTGTTAAAAATTTTGATTTTCAGAGTATTATTAATTATTAACAATTTTGAGAAAGATAATTTATGAAATAAATATACGCAGGGTTTTAACTGAAAAATCAAATGGTTAGTCAAATTTTGCTTATGATTTAGGCTTTAGAAGAAATGATACTAATTCTATTAAAGTATTTTTAAATTGAAGAATTATTAATTATTTATAGTCCATACTTATATTTATTTTTAATTTCCCCATTAAGATAAAGATTGCCAACAGGGTTAAAAAAATAACTTCCCTAATTAATGTTTTCAAATTATTGAAGAGAATTAATATTTAATTTGACTCTTCAAACAGTATTCTTGAATTAATAATACCAAAAGTTAATTTAACTTTGACGAAAAGAGAAAAAGTGATATTATTTAGAAATTAGTAAAGTGTTTTCTTACTTTTTATACTAAAAATTAGTTAATAACTAATGAACCTAAAATAAAATTTAATAGTATTTAGCATTTCATATTACTTTAACAGTAATATTGAAATAGAATAGCATTGAAAATATTTCTTGTTGTGATATTCAATTAATGTGTATCATTTAAATTTTAAATGTTTAATAAGATTAATAATATATTATTAATAATTCTTAATATATATATATTATGAACTAATTTAGAAGCATTTATAAAATGTTTTAAGATAATTATACATATATTCTCAAATATCTTCGACGGCTTAATATTTTATTAGCATTTTTATACTTTAGATAAATGAATTTAAAATTATTGAACTTTTCTATAATTTTTGATCTTTAATCAATTTTTTTGAAATTAATTATTTTTCATCATATTGAACTAAATGATTTATAATTATGACCTCTTTTATAAATTCAAAAATCCCCTAAAGACTTCCTTAAATTATTATTTTATTATTCGAATCTAAATGGTTAGATAATTTTTTAATAAATTCATGTGACATAACAAGATGATCCAGTCATCTAATTCTGCATTAATAACAGAATTAGTCAGATAAAAACTATTTGTTTTTTAATTTCTAGAATATCTTAATCTAATAGTTTACTTAGGAACTTCAAAAGTGATTCATTTATAATAATATATTTTACTAAAAAACATACCTTACTTAACTACTCTTTGAATCTTTATTTTTATGTTAAAATAATATTTCGAATCTTGATAACACTTCAGTCTTTAAAATATGATCTGATTATGTCTTATTACCAGATAAAATATTTCCTTTGATCCTCAAAGCAGGGATCATAATTATTTTTTTTCAGATTGTAATATGATTTTAAAATATTAAGAATCTATAACAAAGTTAATTTATCAACAACTCCATAACTAATTAATGTATTTATTTGACTTTCTTATTCGTTTCAATAACTCAAACCCCAACAAGCATCTATTCACAATTCTTTATCCTCAATGCTAATTATTATATGTGAAAGAATATATATTAATCTCTTTTAATACTAATTATAAGTCAATAAATTACTATATTTGTGGTTGGTTTTCCTCTTGCTAAATTACTAATAGCCAACATTATTGTGTTGAAGACGTCAAAATCAGTTTTATACCTAATTGATAATTTGATTAATGATTTAAATATTCCTTTCTAGAGAAGCTTATCTTTAAATTAAATATTATCTCCAGCCAGAAATGCTTGCCAATGCCGAAACTCTTAAATCAATTATTTCGACAAATTTTGATTCAAGCACCAGAAAAAGAATATTGATTCGATCATTATTTAAAATATTTTATTTTAATTTTTAAGTGCCAAACCCAATAATGGAAATTATCCAAAGCGCCTCATATTTTAATTAAGAAACACTATTGTTTTGGCCAAATCAAAAATTTTTTGTGAACAGATGTTTATAGATTCTATTCAATACGCGATTCTGTAGGAACAATTTACTTGAAGTTGGACAATAATTTTCAACATCGATATCGTCTATAGTATGAAATGTTAATATCATCTGATTTTAACATATTCTTTATTTTTTTCTGGCTCTGCATGTTCTTAAGCAAAATTGTCAACAGCACTTTTTAAAGCCTCTTTCATTTCATTAGGTAATGAAGCTGGTATTAACAATTTTCACTTTTATAAAACTTGCATTCTTTTCTTGATCGCTCATGCACTAAAAATTTTTAATTATTATAAATTTTTTAAAAAGTGTCTAGATCGAATAAAATTAACAGAATAAATTTAATTATAATATTTTATTTATTAGTTAATCTCGACATTTCTTTGCTTTGAAATTGATTGAAATAAAATTTAATTATGTTTAATTATAGCAATAAATTAATATTACTAATTGAAGAAGATAGTTTTTAAATAAGATATTTTTATGAATTGAGTAAAATATCAATTATAAGATGCTTTGTTATTTAAATTATTTCAATAAAAAATATCTGGTTACTAAAGAGTTTTTGATATTTAGTTACACTTTAATACTTATCCAATTAAATTTATCAAGCTACATAAAACATCATAATGTTTTTTTATATCCTCTTGAATTTTATAAAATTTGCTTTAAGTTAAACAGCTATAGATACATTTACTGTACTGTAATACTTCATACTATTATGTTATTTCTTTTTAAAAATAAGAGTCATATTTTATTCTGATTCTCAATTAAGGAGTGGTTTAAGAAAATAATTACATATTTTTTATTCTCCCATTATTCTAATCTCTAATCATCTCATTCAAATAGCCAACTTTTTTCCCATTTTAGAATTACCAACAAAAATTACTTACTTGTCTCCATATCCATTCCAAACTTATTCTTCAATTCAATCCATTTCCAAATTTTAATTGAACCTAAAAAATCATGTGAATTGTCAGAATATTATCCTCCACCACAATTTTCGTTTTCAAAATTGATATATCAATGATAATCTATTTTTCATAAAAAAGTATTCCACTTCCCAATTTTTTAACCATTTTTATAATTGCCTTCAAGCTTTATTCTTCTACCTTTTATTATTAATAATAGTTATATACTCTCAATATCCATTAATTTTTCAATCAACCTTCCTACCTTAATTGAATTCAGCAAATCATAAGTTCGATTATCGTCATATGATCCTCCACCACTAAGTATTTTTTAATAATAATTCTTATAATAAATCTATTTATATCTTTGATATTTATTTTTTCTCCACAATACTCACCTTTAAATATTATTTTCGTGTGCTAATCAATTATTTATAAAGAAATAAAATTACTCCCCAAAATAATCACTCAACTCAATCAATTTCTCGATTTTATTTGAACTTATAACATTATCCTATCTTTATTCTTTATCATTAGTTCCACCCCCACTGTTTTTATTTCTAATTTTTGAGTTAAATAAATAGTTTATATAATATATTTTACATCTATTCGTCTTAATAGAAAGTATCCAATTTATCAATTCTACTTCCGTTTTAATATTTCCCAATAAAAGTGACTTGCCTGTCTCTTATTATGCAATAAAAAAAAAATAAATTTAAAATCCTTCACTCACTTCTATCGAAAAACCAAACTTAATTAACTTCCTAGTTTATTGTCATACAATCCTCCGCCTCTATTTTATTTGGCATTTTTTAAATAATAAAAGTTTAAATTTTTATTATATATTTTATCATCCTAAAAAAGCCCATCCCATCTAACAACTTGTTTACTTCTACTATATTAACCACTATACAGAACTAAACAATCGCTAATTACATAATCATAACAAAAATACTCTTGATAATTAATAAACTCTATCCAATTTTAATTGAACCTTGAATATCTTAATCTTCTTTTTTGTCATCATCAGAGTCGTCATCATTATTTGGAATTCTAGAAATATCAATATTCTATGTGTTACATTTATTTAAATGATTGATATTAAATTTTCCTTCAAAAAATAATCCATTTATCAATTTTTCGACTATTTTTCTATTCACCACATTAAATCATTTAACTTTTACTAACAATTTAACAATTGCTTAACATAAATACCCCTAATATCCATCTGTGAATTCTATCCATATTCCATCTTTCTTAGAATTTAAATCAAAACCCTCCTTTTTATACAAATTTGACTTTTCACCTCTATTTACTTTATTGTGTTTTCATCTTTTTGAATAAGTTTTAATTTGATTCAAATTTTTTATTAATCTATAAATTAGACTTAATCTGAGTAAATAAAAGACAGCACATATTTTTTTATTATAATGGTTATCCTTTTTGAATTGATATACCCTCTTTTGAAACCTGTATAGTTTTGATTAATTGTAATTTAAAAATACTAAAATCCTCAAAGAATAAATTGTACTATTATTTTATAAAAGATCATGATTAGGAAGTTATAACATGTGTTTTTTTTATTTTTCGCAAGTAGCACAGGACGTAAGTATTTTTCTATGATTGATGTTAGAATTATTTCAAATTATCTTAATGAGTACTATAAATTATACTTATATAATCTCGTATGAATACTATTCAAATTAATAAATTAAATAGTGATTTTGTTAAAATTTTATTGAAAAGAAATTTTTTTATTATTATTAGTTATAAAAACAGTTTTATTAATAGTGTGAACAAATTTAAACCTGTTAACATAATTTAAGAAGGAATTAAAAAAATGAATAAAATCACTAATTTATATTTCATTTCAACTAAAGATACATCAAATTTTTCGTAAATAAGTCCTGGAGCATAATTTTAGTCTTTATGATATTATCATCATTTTAAATTTTTTTGGATAATCTGATCCTTCAACCCATTTTAGGTCTTCTCAAAGTCCTTTTCCAGTATTAGCACAAAATAGTTAAAATGCCAATTTGTAGAAAATTTTTTCTATCTGTAATTCAGCAGCCAATTCTTCTGAGTTTATTTTTCTAGGTCTTATTTATTTGAATATTTCAAAAGGGGTAAAGGATCAAGCAACATTTGATGTAATTCAAATATTTCTCTTGCCCTCCTTTCTTTTTCAAAACAATCAAAAGTATAAATTATTCCTTTACTATTCTTCAAGGAAGATTTACAAAGATTTCTTTTCTCCTCTAATATCCCAAGAAATTATGTCAAACTTTTTATTTTATATTGCTTCAAAATTTAATCCAATCGTGAATAAGGTTTTCAATTTTTCTTAATTTTAATTTATAAAACGGTTCTTTTTCTTAAAGCATCCAAACCTATCATCAAAATAATATAATTGATAAAAATCTATTACGTAACAATCAGAAAACCAAGATTTATAACTTAAGAATAATCTTAGAAAAGGTTGAGAAGTTTAAAACTCTTAAGTAGATTGAGTAGTGGATAGCCTTAGAGTCCATGTTTGTAGAGCATAGGAATGAAAGCAGGATAAGAAGATGATAAAGTTTTAGGAATAAATGAATTAATGTAAGTAGATATATGAGGTATAAGACCCAAGAAGCTTTCTTGTTTACGGAACTTTTTATAATAGAATTAAGTGAGGATCAGCCCCTTTGACACTTAGTGTATTTCTTGTGCGAACTATAATGTGTAGATAAACCGGTAATTCCTTATTCTGAATTTCAGCAGTAGGTATACTTAGATTAGGTTGCTCACTGCAAATTCCAAAGGTAGGATTAAGGTTTTAAAACAGATGCCATATCTCATAGGATTTTAGCTTGATAAATTCTTAAGCAAAAGAATTTTAAGAGTATTTGGTACTTTTCTGGATTTTAATTTTGGTATTGTAGAGGAGTTAAGCCTTGGTAGACTTATATTTGAGAGAATTAAGTTCAGTCAGTAAGAGATATCTCCATTTTGGGGTATTTTGGAGTTTGGTTTTTATTATCTAAAGCCTTCGATTATGCTTTTTTTTTTAATTTTCTATGCTGATTATGATCATATATAGGTTTTTAAAGATGTCAATATTGTTGTTATTTTAATAGTAACTTTCTGTTGTTTTTGCAGATGATGTGCTACATTATATACTAGTTAAGAAGTGCTACGCTTTTGAGTAAGGATTTTCTAAATGAGTTTCAGCTTAACCTGGATTAATAAATCATTGAAAATTTAATTTGATTAAAATAATATTCTTGAATAAGAATTGTTTTTTAAATTAATCCCTATTTTATAAGAATTTAAAAGGTTGGGTTTGAAAATTTTATAATTTTCAGCCAAAATATTTAAAGTCTCTATGCTCCCTTGAACAGAATATTCACTGATTTAGATTAAATATAAGTAGAATCTATTTTATCCTACAATTGATATAAGAAAAACTCCTGTAAATCGTATACAACTAACTCTATATAATTTTATTAATTAAATAATATTATTTTATTAAATTAATTTAAATAATCTAATCATCCATTAAGAATAGAATACTCTCAGGCTAATACAAATTCTTAGAAAATAAATTTTATTTAGTTAATAATGAGCTTGCATTCAGACAATTATATAATTTAATTAATTTTTCATATAATTATTGATATCAAATCTATCATGTGATTGGATCATCAAATAATGTCATTTTATTCTAATATTCAGAGACCATAATTCCGAAATCATGCTTAAGAATCTAGTTTTTATTGTATAAAGAAAATAATATTATACGGCTCAAATAAATGTTATATCAAACTTTTATTTATTTATTTATTTATTTA